CGTACACATATACAGACGTACAGACGTACATGCATACAACTCTACATCGATACATCTGCATGCATGCATACATACATGCATACATACATCTACGAGTAATTTATACAGAGAGAGACAATCGCTTCCCACTACTCGCACAGTATCTACTCGCACATGGCCTGGATCCGCCGCGGGGGATTTACGATTCATTACATCGTGACAATAATGTGCTCCTCGGACGTTTGCGAGAAGGCACTTTGCGAATACGAAGTGGAACGCGCGCGGTGACCACAGCACCATAGCTATGCCCGACCTTCTGGCGGGCTGGCGGCTTCGCTCAAGGCGTGTTTGTCCAGTCTTTCGGCCAGGCGTTGCTTAGAGACCCCCTCGAGTCATCAACAAACACTGAACAACCACGACGGATGTCTGTTCTCAATGTTCGGCATCTAGGTGGCCCCCAACTGGGCCTCGGGACCTTGAAAACATGACGCAGGATGAGAAACCGGTCCCGGAGAATGGGTCGAGATCTCTGGGGGTTGACGCTATGAGAAGATCATGACGTCGGGGGTCTGGGCTTAGAGGCAGTGCGTTTCCAAACCATCATGTGGTTCGCGTCCTCGTTTTGAAGACACAACGCCCCGCGTCACTCACTCCTTTCTTCCTCCTCCCCTTCCTCCGCCTCCTCCAGTTCCCACCTCTGCCCTCCGCATGTCAACCATGTCGGCACACCCCTCACATGTTTCGTAACCCCGTCTGGAGCTCATCCGAAGGCCCTAGTAGTGGTGTTCGCATGCGTCCCCTCACACATTCCAGCTCACACATCACACGCTTCGTGGCCCCATAGAGGACTCCACCGAAGGCCCCAGTGGCGGTGCTCGCATGCGTCCCCCCCACCAATTCCGCCACACCCCTCACGCGTTTCGTGGCCCCCATGGGGAGCTCCACATGAGGTCGCAGTGGCGACGTATGCATGCATCCTCAGTGCCAATTTCGGCACACTCCTCACACGTGTCGTGGCCCCATAGAGCTCCACCAAAAGCCTGACGACGTTCGCATGCGTCTCCCCCGCCAATTTCCGCACACCACTCAATCCTTCCGTGGCCGCATGGGGAACTCCACGTAGGGCGGCCCCAGTGGCGACTTTCGCATGCGTGCCCCCATGCAGCCGATTTCGGTTCACCCCTCAAAGGCTTCGTGGCCCCGCAGGGAGCCCCAACGAAGGCCTCACTGACGACGTTGGCCTGCGCCCGCCCCGCCCATTGCGGCACACCCTTCGCACGAGTCGCGACCCCATGGGAAGCTCCACGTAGGGCCCGGTGGCGACACTCCCACGCGTCCCCCCGCCAACTTCGGCATAGCCCCCCCACGCGCTTCGTCGCCCCGTGGGGGGCTCCACCCAGAGCCCCAATGGTGACGTTCGCACGCGTCCGCTCCGCACCGTTCGGGCGCACCCCTCCATAGGGAGCTCCACCGAAGGCCACAGTGGCAGTGTTCGCAGGCGTCCCCCGCACAAATTTCAGCATACCCCTCAAATGCTTCGTGGCCACAGAAAAAGGGGGCTCTGCGGAACGCCCCACAGGCGGTGATCGCATGCGTCTCCCCCCTGCCCCACCAATTTCGGCCCGCCCCTAGCACGCTTCGTGGCCCCACTAGGACCACTTGGGACTTCGGCAGGGCTCCCTATGGGATCACGATGCGTGCGAGCGGTGTGCCGACCTTGTGTGGGGGGAAGCATTCACGCCCTGCGACTGGGGCCTTGGGAGGAGCTCCCTATGGAGCCACGAAACATGTGAGGGGTGTGCCGGTCCGTTGAAGTGTTGCACAGCTTCCACATGTGGTGATATCTGTATTGAGGCCTCTATCGGCCAGAGACCCTACGTGCCTGCCTCCATCAGTGTAATTGGCGGAAGCCTTTGAGACAAATGTGCGCGACATCAAGACAATATCAACATTTTGAAAACGTTCGGCCCTCCATTCGTGTCATTGTGTGCCGTTTGAAAGTCGAGCGTGCGCGGAGCGAAGGCGAGAACCACATGGTAAAACGGGGGTCTCGCCTCAGGCATCGCTAGATTTCATGACCAGAAGTCAAACATATCCAGCAGCTACATGAGGGTTCCTGTTCACAGTGGGGCTGTCGTAGGGATCTCCCATGCACTTCGAAGCATCGCCCAGTCGCTCTCCTTATCGCGCAAGGCATGGAAGGCGATGTCCTTCAAAAAATGGGCTCCCGCCTGAAGTGCGGGCCAATGAGGCCCTCGTGATTCAAGCGGGTCGCTTCCCGCAGTGACGCAGGGAATGCTTGCAGCGGCTTGTGAGGAGGGGCTTCTTGGGACGGGGGCGTGTAGCGCAGCATCGTTAGCACATCTTGGGATTACTGCGCTCTGTCTCTTGCTCCTCCAGTGCGCCCTGGGGACGACCGAGCCCCTTAGGAATCCGAGCTGCTCCCGATGTCGGCGCCTCGGGCGTTGAGGCTTGCCAGGGGATGGGCGGGGGACAGCCAGGACGCCGATCATTACCCCTGCTCCCCGAAACGCCCTCCGAGGCGCGTTCTCACAAGGCTGCGGCCGTGGCTACGAGAAGGCCCCCAGAGGCACAGAGTGGCGACGACGAGGGAAGGGCACGTGCTCCATCCTCCGTTCCGATGCTCGCAACTGGCCAGGAGGTTGGCTCTGGCGGCTGAGTTCCTTCCAGGCACTGCGGTTGGTCGCATTCTCGACCTGCCGGGCTGCGAAGCTGGACAGCGGCGGAATCCTCTGCGCCCAAGAGACCGTTTTTCCTACCTAGGCTGTGCCTAGAAGGGTTCTTACTCTCTGGGCTTAAAGGGGCCGGGCAATGGAAAGCGCCCCGGGCGGTTCCCCCAGTATCCGCCCCGCGGTTCCCCCAGTTACGTCCCCTTAGCTTAGCGTTGTTTATCTCATCTTAGTTTAGCTTATTTCATCTTAGCTTAGCTTAGCTTCATCTTAGCTCAGGTTTATCTTAGCTTAGCTTACCTTCATCTTAGCTTCGCTGAGCTTTAGCGTAGCAGAGCACAGCATAGCATTGCATAGCGTAGCATAGCATAGCGCAGCACAGCATATCATAGCAGAGCCCAGCAAACCATAGCATAGCGCAGCATAGCATAGCATAGCATAGCATAGCATAGCACAGCGCAGCACAGCACAGCACAGCACAGCGCAGCATATAATAGCATAGCATAGCAGAGCAGAGCATAGCAACAAAGCAAAGGCAAAGCAACCGCAGCGGCAGCAAAGCAAAGCACAAGCAACGCAAAGCAAAGCAAAAGCAACAGCAAAAGCAAAGCAAAGGACAGGCAAAGCAAAAGCAATGTGCGACAGATGCCGAGCTAGCCTCGATGGCCGGACCAGACCCCCGCAAGCAGTGCCTTCCGTAACCATTTCGGCGCAAGTCCGGAGGCCCTGCCACACTGCCGCATAGCATAGCATAACATAGAGCCACACATAGCATAGCATAGCATAGCATAGCGCAGCATAGCAAAGCAAAGCAAAGCATAGCATAGCGCAGCTCCTGCATATGCCCGCGCCCCGCCCTCCCCCAGACCTGCACAACCGGCAAGATTAGGTTATCCAGGGGGGGGTGGGGGGCAAGCCCGATAGCCCGGGTTATCGCCCGACCCTGCGACAAAAACAGCTTCCAACGACGCCCGTTGCTGTGGAGGCCCCCGCCCACCGCCCGCCCCATGGCGCTCTGCAGGGACTGCCCGAGGGGGCGCGGCCGCTCGTGCTTTCCCTGCCGCTGCGGCTCTCGGGGCGCCTGCTCGGCGCGTCGCAGGGGGCGGCCCCGGCCGGCACGCTGGGCCTGGCGGAGCGGGCGGCGTGGCGCTCCGCCCGGGGGCGGCGGGGGGCCGGGAAACGGCTCGGGGCGTCGACGCCTTGGGGCCGGGAGAAGAGCCCAGCTGCCCAGCGGGTCGCGCCAGAGCGTGGTGGGCCAGCACCCGCGGGCCGACCAGCCGAGCCCGAGTGCCCGGCCGCGGGCTCACCGCAAGAGCGCCTGGGCCGCCCACATGGACCTCGCCGCGCTCTGCCTCGGGCGTCTCTGGGGGGCTCCGAGGGGGCCAACGAATGTCCCCGGGCCCTCGCTGTTCGTCCCCCTCTGCTCTGGAGCTGGCCGCGCGCAGCCCTCGGCCCCGCCGCGCTGGAGCAGGGACAGCACCTCCCTCCACTGCTTCGCGTTGCCGCAGCTCTGGATCGCGGCCACGAGGGAGGTGGTGCTGGGGCTCCGCGAGGGGGGGGCATCGCCGACTGATGGGGAGAGGCAGGGGGAGACGAGGATGATGATGATGATGATGCTGATGATGATGATGATGATGTTGATGTTGATGTTGATGTTGATGATGATGATGATGATGATGATGATGATGATGATGATGATGATGATGATGATGATGATGATGATGATGATGATGATGATGATGATGATGATGATGATGATGATGATGATGATGATGATGATCAGGAGGAGGAGGAGGAGGAGGAGGAGGAGGAGGAGGAGCACGAGGAGCAGGAGGAGCAGGAGGAGCAGGAGGAGGAGGAGGAGGAGCAGGAGGAGGAGGATTGGGGGGCGGAGCACGGGCAAGCGCAGAAGGAGGAGCAGCAGCAGCCGCTGCAGCAGGAGATGTGGGACCCTGTCGGATACAGCGGCTGCTGCCCACGAGTGCAGCAACGCTCGGGCTCGGCCCCTGGCTGCTGCAGCTCCTCCTCCCCGCCCTCCTCTGTCCTGCGTCCTCCGCCCTCCTCGTCCCCCATCGTCCTCTCCGTCCTCCTTTGCATCCTCCTCCTGTATACATATTCCCTGACCTTTCTCTCTTCTTCCTTCTTCTCCTCCTCCTGCTGCTCCTCCTCCTCCCTCCCTCCCTCCCTCCCGTACCCGTCCTCCTCCTCCTCCTCCTCCTCCTCCTCCTCCTCCTCCTCCTCCTGCCCGTCCTCCCTGTCTTCCTCCATCATCCTCATCTGCCGCCCCCTCCTCCTCCGCCTCCCCCTCCCCTGGGAAGGGGGCAGAATCACAGTCGGGCGATGTCCCCGTCTCCCGGGGCCCCGATAGAGCTGGAAGCAGCGCCCCCGTGCCCTGCGAGAGGAGGGAGGAGGGGGAGGAGGGGTAGGAGGAGGAGGAGGAGGAGGAGGAGGAGGAGGAGGAGGAGGAGGAGGAGGAGGAGGAGGAGGAAGAAGAGGTGGAGGCGGGGGAGAAAAAGGAAGTCGTGGAGGGGGGGCAGGAGGCGTCCGCCGACCCCCCGCTTGCCGGGGGTGCAACAGGGTGTGAGATGACTGGATTGAGTATCGATTAACCGATACCCATCCCCAGCGGCGTGGCCTGGGCCACACTGGCCGATTTACCCCCCTAGATGGGGATATACGCCGTTCCCTTCGGATTTCGAGGGGTGTATCCCCAACTGGGCGGGTACTTTGGCGGGGGTCTCGAAGGGGATGAGGATGGGGATGGGGGTCGATTAAACGATACTGATGAATGTTCCCCTTCCCCTCTCCCCCTCCTCATGGGGTCTGAAAGCCGATTAGAGGTGGGGGGCTCTGGGGGCGGGGGGGGTCGAGCTCGTCGACGCACCCAGGAATCCTCCGGCGCCTCCAGATCTAGACTCCGTGGCACCCAGGATGCCCAAGATGCGGTCTAAGCTGGCCTCCAAGCTGGTCTCCAACACGCCGAGGAATCTTCAAAGACGACCATGATGGCTTCAAAATTGCCCTAGAAGCTTCGAAGACGACCCAAGAGGGCTTCAAAGCGACCCTCGAGAGGGCCCCAAAAAGAAGAAGAATAATAAGAAGAATAAGAAAACTAAACATAAGAACAAGAAACAATAATCGTCGAAATCCGTGGCCGAAGCCGCCCAAGCTGGCTTGCGAAAGCCCCAAGCAGGGCCCCAACAGGGGCCCAAGAGATGCAACTCGAGCTGACGTTCCGAGCCCTCCGCTCCGAGAGGACCCCCGAGAACGCTGGCAGGCGCCTAAGGAACTTCCAAGAGGCTCGAAGCGGCCCCAGGAGGCCCAAAAGGAGACCCCCGGAGGGTCCCCACGACGCCCAAAGAAGGCTGCACCCGTGGACGTCATCCCTCTCCTGGGGGCCGGCGGGATGGCGGAAGCCTGTGGAGCAAGGAAGGGGACGGCAGAGGACGACGAGCGGAGCAGGCCTCGGTGGTGGTGCGGGGGGCCGGGAGGAAGCGAGAGAAGGGGGACGGGGGAAGGAGGACCCAGGCATCCGACGAGGTGATTGCCTTCATTGCCGAGCCCCAAGGGTCTCGGCCCCGTCCTTGGAAGTTGCTCGTCCCAAATCCGTTTCTAATGACCATTGGGGTCCGAAAGCGGGCCCCCGCGGGCTAAGATGACAGAAAGACGCTGCGATTGACAACGTTATAACGCTGGGTATCTGGGAGGAGGGAGCGAGGAGGAGGAAGCAGAAGGGGTGGAGGGAGGAGGAGGAAAGATGTGGACTGGGAGTAAGACAGGGAGAAGGGAGGAAGGAGGGGAAGTAGGCGGGGAAGGAGGAGGATGAGAGGGCAGAAACAGGTGGGAGAAGTCAGGAAAAAAGGGAGGAGGAGGAGGAGGAGGAGGAGGAGGAGGAGAAGGAGGAGGAGGAGGAGGAGGAGGAGGAGGAGGAGGAGGAGGAGGAGGAGGAGGGAGGAGAGGGAGACAGGGAGGAGGGAGGGAGAAGGAGGCGGGAGGGAGGAGGAGGAGGAGGGAGATGAAGGAGGAAAAAAGGGAGGAGGAGGAGGAGGGAGGACGAGAGAGGAGGGGCAGAAGGGAGGAGGGCCGGAGGGAGGAGAAGGAGAGAGGAGAGGAGAGGGTCGAGGGATGAGGAGAGGGAGGATGGAGGAGGGAGGAGGAGAGAGAGGAGGGAGGAGGGGGAGGAGGAGGGAGGAGGAGGAGGAGGTGGAGGAGGAGGATGAGGAGGGATGAGAGAGGCGGGGCGGAGGAGGACGGCAGCGCCTGGTGGTCCAGCGAGCGCAATGGAGCGCGACATGCGCCGCTAACTGGTAAGGCTACGTGGTAAGGCTTTGGTTTGTCGCCGCCCAGGCTCCCGAGCCGAGGCGGCGTTGGGGGGCGAAGGGGGGGGATCGAAGGGGAGGACGGAGAATGGAGCCTCCTCTTCCTCCTCCTGTCCCTCCCTGCAGTACCCCCTCCCAACCACCTCCTCCTCCCTCCTCCCCTCCTCCTCCTCCTCCTCCTCCTCCTCCTCCTCCTCCACCCTTTCCTCCTCTCCTCCTTCTCCTCCCTCCTCCTCCTCCTCCTCTCCTCCTCCTCCTCCCTCCTCCTCATTCTCCTCCTCCTCCTCCTCCTCCTCCTCCTCCTCCTCCTCCCTTCCCTCCTTCACGGGAAAGCTAGGGGGGGAAGGTCGTCGGTCGCGGCCGCCGCCGGCCGTCGGTTATGGCCTCCGTCGTTCGCGTCGTCGTCCGCCGCGTCGCCGTCTGCCCGTCGCAGTCCGCCCACCGCCGTCCGTCTCTGGCCCCATCGTCGCCCGTCGCTTCGCCGCCCGTCGCCTCGTCGTCTTCTCGTCTGCCGGCGCCCGGCGCCAGGGGGGGCGGCGGACGAAACCGTGCGGATGGGCAGGGACAGGGCGACGAGATCTACACATATCCGTCCCCCTGGCCATTCTCACCCTGTGCCTCCACCTGCTCCTCCTCCTCCTCCTCCTCCTCCTCCTCCTCCTTCTCCTCCTCCTCATCCTCCTCCCTTTTTTCCTGACTTCTCCCACCTGTTTCTGCCCTCTCATCCTCCTCCTCCAGGATCGGTGCTTCCACGAATCCCTGGCCACGCCACGGGGGGACGTGCACACCGCTCGTAGGATCCCGTCGCCCCTCTCGGCGCTGCGACAGAAGCTACAGCATCGCGAAAAATCAAGGCCCGAGCCCCAAATCGCATCCTTCTGACGCGCCGGATCGATGTGCGATGATGGCCCCGGAGCCCGACACCGTGCGACGATGCCTGGTGTTTTCACATATCTATGTATATATATATATACATACATATATATACACACAAATATATTGTATTTGTACATAAAAGACGCACCGCCCCGAACTCGGGGCATGGTGGCCCCCTCCGCGCGCGCGCGGGCGCCTCTGCCCCTCCGGAGGGGGCGCACGCCGCGGCGTGGCGCCCATCCCCTCGCAGCGCCGTGGGAGGAGCGGGTCGGGTCGCCCCTCCTGCGGGCTCTCAGAGGAGGGGGGGCGGTCGGTGGATGCGGGGGGGGGGGGGAGGCAGCTGTGCGCGGAAGGAGGGGGGGGGAGGTGGTCGGTGGATGGGGGGGGGAAGGAGGGGGAGGAAAGGAGGGGGGGGGCGGTCGGTGGATGGGGGGGGGAAGGAGGGGGGGAAGGAGGGGGGGGGGGAAGGAGGGGGGAGGGAGGGAGGAGGGAAGGAGGGGGGGGGAAGGAGGGGGGGAAGGAGGGGGGGGGAGGAGGGGGGGGGAAGGGGGGGGGGAGGAGGGGGGGGGGGGGGGGGGGGGAGGGTCGGTCGGTGGATTGGGGGGGGGCGGGGAAGGCAGAGGAGATGGGGTGGGGCAGGCGGGAGGAGCAATGGGGCATGAAGGATCGGGGAGAGCAGGGGGAGGAGGAAGGACGCACCATTCCGCCACGGTCTCGTCAGCCAGCCTGGCCTTGGATTAGTCGCCGTGCGGTGGCTGAGGAGGCGGGCATGGCTCGCGCTCGGGCTCGCACGATCCCACGAATCGAATTTACAGACGGGGTCATGAGGATAGGAAGGAGGAGGAGGAGGAGGAGGAGGAGGAGGAGGAGGAGGAGGAGGAGGAGGAGGAGGGGAGGGGGAGGGGGTGGTGAAAGGAGGAGGAGGAGAAGGAGAGCTAGAGCAAACCCAGGATGCATCAACACTGCTGCAAAAACCCTTCCTTTCCAAGGCCTCCTCTCACGCGTCCGTGTAAGCCTCCCCTCCGAGGCGCCCCCTGGAAATGTCAGCGCCCCGTGGACCTGCCACTCGGGCGGGAGTCCTGGCCTGAGAAAGAGCCAGGCGCCTTGTAGCCATCTGGCGAGTAAGAAGGACAGCGCGAAGGCAATAACGCACAGTTCCAACGAGGTGTCGCACGAGATCCCCGTTTTGACGAAAGGCCCACCCCCCGTCTGTGCAACTCTTACACAAGCCTTCACGTCTGGCCATGCGCGACGGGGAAGTCTCAAACGAAAAACCACTGTTGAAAAGATGAGCCGCCCTCCGTCCATGCAGCTGTATCATATGCTCACGTCTCGGGTCAGATTCTGAATACCTCAAGCGAGCGTTCGATTATGTGAAGGAGCCGGTCTAGCTGCCGCATATGCTCAAATGCTCAAGCTCCTGGTCTGGAGACAGAAGGGGTCGTCAGCGAAAACTCAATCGTGACAAAGAACTGCCCACAACCCCTGCAACCGCTCAAAGATTTGTACGACGAATGTTCGCGGCGCTAAAGCGAACGCCCAAGTTTGAACAGCTGCTGCAAATGTTTAAAACGAGTGTGCTCGGTGCTATTGCGGAAGCCCGATGTTCAATCAAACCGCCCTCCATCCATAAAGCTGCTGCAGGCTTTCGGTGCTAAAGCGAAAGGTCCATCTTGCAAACGAACTTCCCTCCATCCATGCAACTGTTGCAGATATCGAACATAGGATGCGCGGCGCGCAGGCAGGAGCCGCATTTGTGAAAACCACCCACCCTTCATCCATGAAGCCGTTACTGACGTTCAAAGCGAATGCGCCGGGCGCGAAAGCGAGAAGCACCTTTTGAAAGCTGTACCCCTTCATCCTGGAAGCTCTTCCAAATTGCAAGCTTCAAGGCCGTATGCTGTGAGGAAACTACGGACGGCACGCCTACACTACCCTATCGGCACGTCTGGCGGGGGGGGAACAGGGATGGGTTATATATCTAGATCTATACACACACGAGAACCACGCGCGCGCTACGCACGCGCTCAGCTTCTAACCGACTGCGCAGTCATTGCCAGTATTCCGCGAACCCACGCACCCGAATTCACAAATCGGGAGCGGCCAAGAGGGGGGTGTCCAAGAGGGGGGGGGGGTGCAAATCATGACCGGCGGCATGTGCGCGGCCCAGCGGGGGGGCCAGGGACGTAATAAAATAAGAAGAGGCGCCATGAAATCTGGGGAAATATCATGACCCCCGCCATGATATCCACCCCCCCCTAGTCATCACCCCCCTCTTTTCCGCCCCCGAACAAAAGGAAAAGCGCCCCGAGCGCAGGCCACCCTTAGCGCGTGGTGCCAGGCCTCCCGGGAGAGAGCAACAGGCCTGTGGGGCAGTCACGGCGTCCGTCGACCCCTTTGGATTCATCAAGGCGTGTGGGATCCTCCCCCCGCCGATCATCCCAGCAGGCAGGGGGGTAGGGGGGGGGGGGCAACATCATATCGGAAAGTGCTGAGCGAACTTTGCCCGTTTGGCAGTGTGATCCCCACTGCCACACGGGCAGTCGGCCACACTTCCCTGCATATTCCCTGCTTGACAGTGAAGATCCCATTGTGTACTGGGCGAGCGGGTACCCCGATGACTCGTTTGACAACGGGATTCCCTTTGCCCTTCTTATTCCTTCAACTGGGAGCTGGAACACCCAAACGCACAATGGAAACACCAAACAAACCAAATAAACTGAAGTGCTGAAGGCAGAAACTTTAGGAACACCATGGTGAAACAACATAACACATCCTAAAGAAACCCGTCCGAAGGGAAACGTAAGTCCGACGGGAAAGGGCGCATATTTTGTAGAATCTGAGTTTGTTGGTGTCTTTAGTTGTTCAAATGGTGTTCCTAAAGTGTCTGCCGCCAGTACTTCAATTTCGTTATTTGTTTTGGTTGCTCTGAAAGTTTTCACCGCATAATCCAGACTTCCTTTGGGATGAAACGGAGGAGGAAGAGAAGGAATAAGAACAGGATGAAACCGGAAACGGAGGAGAATGAGGAAAAGGAAGAGGATAAGGACGGAAACGGAAGAGGATGAGAAAGTGGAGGAGGAGAAGGCAGCGAACGGAAGAGGGAACGAGAGGGGTATGGTAGGAAAGGAGCAGGGAGCGAGCCATGAGGGAGCCATGAGCGAACCACGAGGGATCCAAGAGGGAGCCATGAGAGAGGCATGAGGGGAGGGAACTATGAGGAAGCCATGAGGGAGCCACTACTGAATCCACCTCCTCCTCCTCCTCCTCCTCCTCCTCCGCCCCCTCCTCCTCCGCCCCGTCCTCCTCCTCCGCCGCCTCCTCCTTTTTCCGCCTCCTCCTCCGCCTCCTCCTCCTCCTCCTCCGCCGCCTCCTCCTCCTCCTCCCCTGCCCCTCACCACTCACCCCTTCCTCCTCCTCCCTCCTCCTCCTCCTCATCGTCCTCCTCCCACTCTCTTCTTCTCGGTTCCTTGCCCTGCTCAATTGAGGGATCCAAGAGGGAGCCATGAGAGAGGCATGAGGGGAGGGAACTATGAGGAAGCCATGAGGGAGCCACTACTGAATCCACCTCCTCCTGCTCCTCCTCCTCCTCCTCCTCCTCCCTCCTCCTCCGCCCCCTACTCCTCCGCCCCCTCCTCCTCCTCCTCCTCCTCCTTTTCCCGCCTCCTCCTCCGCCTCCTCTCCTCATCCTCGCCGCCTTCCTCCTCCCTCCTCCTCCTCCTCTCCTCCTCCTCCTCCTCCTCCCTGCCCCTCACCACTCACCCTTCCTCATCCTCCCTCCTCCTCCTCCTCCTCCTCCTCCTCCTCATCGTCCTCCTCCCACTCTCTTCTTATCGGTTCCTTCCCTGCTCCATTGGGGGGGGAGGAGGAGGAGGAGGAGGAGGAGGAGGAGGAGGAGGAGGAGTAGGAGGAGGATGAGGAGAAGGAGGAGGAGGAGGAGGAGGAGGGAGATGATGATGATGATGATGATGATGATGATGATGATGATGATGATGATGATGATGATGATGATGATGATGATGCTGATGATGATGATGATGATGATGGATGATGAATGATGAATGATGAATGATGATGATGATGATGATGATGATGCTGATGATGATGATGATGATGATGGTGATGGTGATGATGATGATGATGATGATGATGACACTGATGATGATGATGATGATGATGATGATGATGCTGATGATGATGTTGATGCTGATGCTGATGCTGCT